CACACACACACACACACACACACACACACACACACACACACACACACTTTTCAACTTTAGCTTTGGAAACAATAATCAAACCTACATTACCATTCCTACAAAGCGTTCCTCGATAACTACCCTATGGCTCCCTGTACCAGACTTCCCACTCTAAAACACCCCTCCCTGGCCACCAATCTCCTATTCGTGTTGTCTTCCCTTATTAGTATCTAAACTCCTTAAGAGCAAGAGATCTGTATCTCTAGTACTTATCATACTGCCTGCCATACAACAAATTCTTAAAAGATGCTTTTCCATTCATGCGTTCATTTATTCATTCTTTCATTCAGCACAGGAAGGGGATTGCTTAGTCCCAAACAAAGAAGGTTCGGTCTCATTTTTCCCCCAGTTAGTTATACACACAGGCCTTTTTCATACTCCAAAACATTTCTCCCACTCCAGTAACACGTGATCCTCTTGACCTAAAGGATTGGACCCCGGGAAAATCTGACAGCTCCAAACACAGACATTCAGATCATCCGCACATTCACCATGTTGTGCTGGTGGTTGTTACTGCACCTGTGATTTCACGGGTAGAGATAGAGCCTGAAACCAGATCTTTCTGATTTCAAAGCTAGCTCTCTCCCCAGTGCAACCTACTTAAAACAGGCCATACACCTTTAAAACAGAAAAGCAAGGTGTAAGCAAATGCAGAATAAATATGAGGCTGAAACCCATTAGTACTGCCTCCTTTGCAGAAGTCAGGAAGAGAGCTGATGCTGGAATTGCTGAGTGAGGTTCCTAGCCAGTATGTATGACAGACTGACAGACTCTGGATTTAGTTTTGCTTAGTTTTCCTAGGTCTCCCATCCATGCTATAGGTCTCTTGCCCAGTGTTCCCCTGTTTCAGAGGTTGGCTCTTTGAGGGGTGCCTGTAAGTGAGGGGTATTCCCCCATATAGGAAGAGTTGAATCAGCAGCATTTCTGAGGCTGAAAGAGTTAATAGATAGCGCTGCCTGCTTGCCACTTGCATGAACACAGCCAGCTAGGTGGCCCTAAAGTTGAACACCCCATGATCTGTCTGGCCTAAAAGCAACACACATTTCAGTGCAAGTGAATCCCTCTGGCAGCCTTGCTCTGGAGAAGATAGTGTGGGTGTGTTGCAGGTCTTAAAAGAAGCATATTCACAAAGCCCAGCTGGTAGGTTTACAGCCGGGCAGCCCACACCTGGCTGTTGGCCAATGCCATTTGTTTTTCATTTGTAACAGTACAGAAAAAGGGGGGGGACCTTTGTCCTGCCCAATTTTTTAAAAGCAATTTACTAAAAATTTAGAAAAAATAACAAATAACAAATTCCATTTTTTGTGTAAAAAAAAAAAAGCGTCAGCCACGGCTCAAGAGACATTAACATTATTTGCAGGTCAGCAGCCCAATATGGGAAAGGGGTTTAAGTGCAAGGGCCTTGAAGAAACCACCTGATCCTGCTTCCTTACTTTCTGCTGTATATAGTTTCAATTTCACTTTTTTTAGCTTTTGTTCATGCAGTGACCACGAACCCGCTACTTCCTATTTTCAGAAGACAATTCTGAGCTATCCTCCCAAGAGCTAATTATACAACTTGTACATTTTCCTAGCTCTAAGGTCTCCTTCCTTCTGTTTCTTGTTTCCTGGGTCATTTCACCGATTATTGGTGCCTCTGCCAGAAGTGGACTGGGGGAAGGAAAAAGGTTAACGAAGTCAATTTGGGGACTCATTAGTAGCTCCGATGAGTCTTGGCTGAAAGGCCTTCAAGAGTGAAACATGGAGATAATCAGGGGGTGTGTGAGGATGAATACAGGAGCCTGGCAGCCCCTGGACCAATAATATCAGGAGTGTTAAATGCTCAGAAGAAGCGGAGGCTGATGAAGAAACTGGGAGAGAGCAAAAAGAGTGTTTGGAGTCATGTTAGAGAAATGAGCACAATCCCCCAAAAGTGGAGAAAGACAGCTTGAGGTAGCTGGACGACAATAACTGTAACCCAGAGAAGGCAGAACTGTGGCAGGGGAAGAAATGGACACTCACCGAGGGCAGGAATTGTTCCACTTTTTGTCATTCGATGTCATTGTTGTTGTTGTAGTCATTGAGTTGTTTTCAGTTATGCTAGACTCTTCATAACCCCTTTTGTGGTTTTCTTGGCAAGGATACTGGAACGGTTTGCCATTTCCTTCTCCAGCTGAGGATGAGGAAACCGAGGCAAACAGGGTGAAGTGACTTGCCAAGGGTTACACAGCTAGTAAGAATGTGAGGCCAGATTTGAACTCAGGTCTTCCTGGCTCCAGGTCCAGAGCTCTATCCACTGTGCCACAGTACCTGACTTATTAATGACTTAAGAAATGCTTGTTGATTGATTGATTGACTGTTAAGAGTCCTTATTTTGCTGCTATTTTCTCTGCCAAAAAGGAAACTATTTGTATTGGAAAGGACAGAACAAAAATAGTTAATGGGTAGCTGATTCCCAGTGTAAGCAAGGATAGAGTAACAGGGTTCCTAATACCAGGAGCAGATGAATTACAATCCAGGCAGCTGAAAGAACTGGAAGATGGACCACTATCCGTGGTCTTTGAAAGCCTGGAGGAGAGAGAACATAGGCATAGAGGAAGCACCAATGGTTTTCCAAAAAAAGAGAAGATCCTTTCAAAAGCATCTTATCCTCCCCTTCAAAAAGAAGAAGTGAATGGAATCTGAAAATAATATGCCAGTGAAATTGGCCTCAAATCCTGGGGAAAAAAATTCTAGAATACATCATTTTAAGTCAAGCCAAATCAGCAAACATTTATTAAGTACCTACTATGTCCCAGGCGCTGTGATAAAAGCCCAGAGATACAAAAGAAGGCAAAAGATAGTACCTGGCCTCAGGAGCTCACAGTCTGACAGGAGATCACATGTCAGCAATGAAATACAAACAAGATATACACATAATGCATTGGACATCATCACAGAGGGAAGGCATGAGCATTATGGGGGACCAAGAAGTGCTTCTTGGAGAAGGTGGAATTTTACCTGAGACTTGAAGGAATCCAGGAGGCAGAGATGAGGAGGGAGAGCCTTCTAGGCACCAGAGGACAGGGTGAAGAAAACAAGGAGGTTGGTGTCCCTGCACGGCAGAGCACATAAACACGTAAGAAGACCGGAAAGGCAGGAAGGGGCCTCAGCTTCACTGACAGTAAAATGGGACCAGATGTTTGTAGATGATGAGGCTAGGTCCAAATCTGTCATTTCATCTCTGTAAGGAACTTCTAGCAGAGAAACTCTTTCTTCTATAATCTGAGTCTTCTTAGAAAGTAGCTCTGAAAGATTAAACACCTCACTCACGGTTATCTAGACAATGTATGTCAGAGGAAGCATATGATCCCAACTCTTCCTGCCTCTGAGGCTGACCCTATCTATAACCTCATTCTGCCTCACTGACCCTAGTGTGGGCAAAGCTGAGAAAAGGAGACAGCATTATAATTGTTATGATGATTTGCCTCAACGCTTCTTTACCTGACATAGTAGACTAATCCTTGATCGATGCCTCTTCAGAAGAAGGTAGGCTGTTACAATTAAGACTTTGGGCATAAATACTGCTTTTCCTGAAGACACAACTAGAACATATTTCTAGGAAAGGCAAGGAAGAAGGACTCTGGAGACAAACAGCTGCATCTACATTTTTCCAACTAAAGAGTGCAGGAAGAATGAAGACAATGAGACACACCAGAACAAAAACCACACCACTAAAAACCACAAAACTAACTCGAACCAACAAAAAGCAGAATAAAGACGAGGGCTAATGCAATGAAGATCTTAAACTCATTACATATCCGAATTTAAATCTGATTGTGAATTTATCTCATATTGTTTTTTATTTGGTGGCTCACAGTGATGCTGGAGGTAGGAGGAATAACTTAATTTAGAGAGTAATTTGGGGCAACCACTCCTATCTTCTCTGATAATGGGAGAAAGGGAAAATAATGAGAAAGGGGAGCATAAGCACAGAGGACCAGAGTAGGATCAGTTTTCCAAAGAAAAACAAGGATTTAATCACATCACTGATACACTCGAGGGTCTGGTTTTAGGAGGGGATGGTTAGACAATGCCACTCTCTCAGTAATGGAGCTGGTCGGTAATTAGTTTAGACTCTGGAGACTGGGATCATTAAAAAGATGATGACTGGACACTTGCCACCATCAAGATAATGTTTCTTAATAAAATTAGCTCAGTTCAATTGCATAATTTGGCTCCTGCCTATGGTTAGCCACCAAATAGCTTTTGGGATACTTGGGACACCAATAATAAAAACAGCAACAACAACTTTCAATGATCCACAAAATGACGAGCATAAGTAAGACAACAGCCATTGTTCTAGGAGCCTTTCTATCTGAACTTCATTGAAAATAAGGTGAAAGGGACCAGGAATACAACAATGAGAGCTGAGGGTTCTATGTAATTCTGCCTGAGTGCTGCTAGCACAGAACCCTGCACTTCCTTTGGGTCCAGACTCGTGCTTTCATTGGTGTAGGCAACTTGAAGGGAGGAAATTCCCTCTTTTCTATCAAGGCAGACTGGAAAGTGCTCTGCAGTTTATGGTTTTAGAGTGGGCTTGCATGGACAGATTTCAAAGGGCTGGTGAATTCCGATGGGAAGAACATTCTATCTTTACTTCAATATAAGTGGTTTCCTTTGGAATTCTATGTATTTTACCTTATGCATTGAAAAGCTATTCTGAGAAGGGGGTTTGCTAAAGGTAGCCATGAAGCAACAAAGTTTTAAGAACTACCATCTAAAAGACACTGAGAAATTCTGGGACTTACCCAAGATCACAGATAGGACGTGCCAGGAGGCAGAATTTGAACCCAGGTCTGCCTGCCTCCCATGTCCACACTGTCTCTGTACCTTAATGCCTTTAGCATTTAAGATGAATGAATGAATGAATGAATGAACAAATGAATGAATGAATGAATGAATACTACTTTAAGGTTTGCAAAGTGCTTGAAATACTTTATCACATTTGACTCTCCCAGCCATCCTGTGAGGTTGGATCTATAAAAATTATTCTCTTCATTTTAGAGATTAGGAAAACCAATGCTCAGAGGAGTTCCACGGTCACTCAGCTTCTAAGTAAGAAAGGTGGAATTTGAACCAAACCTTGCTCATTCATTCCATGGCTTTATTCTATCCCCTAAGCCGTCTGTGTTAGATCAGTCACAGAAGTGACTGCAGCAAGGTGTCATTGCCAAAGCTGTGCCTTTCTTTTTTCTCCAGAAGAGGAGATAGGGAGCCCAAGCCTGGGAAGCGGGGATTAGGAAATACACCCTCGGAGGGAATTCTCTTCCTTTTAAGTTTCTTAAACTACAAGTGTTAACACCTATGTGGTTGTGTACCGTAGATTGCTATCTGCACATGTATCTGTCTGGGGTTGACAGAATCGATGAATGACCTGCAGACTTTTTCCAAACGGGTTACACGTGGAAACTACAACAGATGCTTTTGGGGGTCTGCGGCTGTGTGCAGCTCTCTCCCGCTCCTGGCTGTGGGGGCAGCTCTCAGACTGTGAAGTTCAATTCAGCTTAATTAAATTAAGAGCCTACTATGCGCAAGGCATAGGATCTGAGAGTTTCAAAGTGAAATAAGACGAGGTCCTGCTCCTCAAAGAGCTTAAGATCTGATTCTCCTCCAAGGGAACAAGATATTTAAACAAAACAGCTACAAGGCAATGCACACTATGTAGACACAGAAGTCTAGACAGAGCTATGAGAGGCCGAAAAACAGGATCACAGACCTAGAACCGGAAAAGGCCTCTAACCTGCTCCTGTGTTTTGTTGGTAAGGAAATTGAAGTGAAGTATCTTGCCCAAATTCACAAAGAGATTAAAGCAGATCCTCTAATTCAAGACCTGTCCCAGGCTCTCCTTTAGTGGGAAGGGAAGGGAAGGGGACAAGCATTTATTAAGCACCTACTATGTGCCAGGTACTGTTCCAAGTGCTTTACAAATTGCTGTAAAATTATATTTCACAAGTATCGGGTCCTCACAACAACCATGGGAGGCAGATGCTATTATTATCCTCATTTTACAGATGAGGAAACTGAGGCAGACGGAAGTTAAGTGACTTGCCTCAGACCCCAGAGCTGGTAAATGACTGAGGCTAGATTTGAACTCAGGTCTTCCTAACTCCAGATCTAGACCTCTATCTGCTTCACCACCCACCTGCTTCAATATACAGCTGAAAGACTGAGAGTGATCGAGTGATCAGCTAGAGTGATCCAGAAGCACTTGACCTGAAGTTGGTACTTGAGGAAAGTGGGTACCACCAATTCCAGCTGAGGATATTCAACAACCTTTGATTACACGTCTCCTCCATGAAAAGCACTGAGCTAGGTACAAAGGGTACAAAGACAAGGAGGAATCCAGAAGTTTACATTCTACTGGGGGATACACGTTCAGCACTTAACACAGTGTCTGGCACATAGTAGGTGCTTAAAAAATGCCTGATGGGGCAGCTAGGTGGTGCAGTGTATAGAGCTCTGGCCTTGGAGTCAGGAGGACCTGAGTTCAAATTCGGTCTCAGACTAGACACTTGAAACTTACTAGCTGTGTGACCCTGGGCAAGTCACTTAATCTCGATTGCCTCACCATAAATGAATGAATGAATGAATGGATGAATGAATGCTTGATGACTTACTGATGCTAATTTCAGGAGGCAGAGAACACGAATGGCTGAGGGTATCCTGAAGGAAGATAAGGATTCTGAGTGGTGGGAGTACTCAAGGCATGGAGCCTGGCTTGTGCAAATTCATGGAGACCAGAAGTGGAATGCAAAGGTCTGAGAAGTTCTGGTATTACAGCGTGGCCAGAGCAGAAAGGTCACAGAGGGGAGGGATGTGGAATCAGGCTGGAAGGGCAGGTTGGAGCAAGACCGTTGAGGGCCTTACACACCAAAGTGGGGACATTTTTGAGCAAGGAGTGGCATGGTCAGACTTTGCCCTGTCAAGATTTATTTTTATTTTAGCTTTAATCGATTTTTATTAGCATGTTGTCCTTATATCACCTAGATTTTCTTCTTTATCTTTCCACTCTTCACTCCCAGAGAGCCATCCTTATAACAAAGGAATTTTTTTTTAAATAGAAATAAAGGAAAAATATTGG